TATAGAGCAACACATATAAAGCTAAGAACCCTGAGTCAAACCCGTTGATTGAAGGTATCTCAAGAAACCTTGGGATCTGTACAACTTTTTCATGCGTACTGGGAGTTAACTTGTGCAGGGACACTTAAATCCAATCACCTGCTGTTCACTGTATCCTCTCATTTCTGTCAACCTCCCTACAACAGTAGTCTGAGGAATGATGCTGGGAAGGCCTGTTTATCACTGTGTGTCAGTAAGCCCCCAAGATAGTGTGCTATCTTCATTTTTATAACAGACATGGACACATTACTTACAATAAAAAATGGAAATGACAATAAACACATCTGCCCCTCAACTGTAATATCACAACTAGTTTAACTTAAATCAGATCAAATCATTGTCTGCACTCTTTTCACCAGTGAGACAAACACACTCGCTGATATATTTAAAAAAAGAGCACTGGAGCCTGTTCCAAAACCTCCACCCAGCAAATCCAGACACTGAAAACACACTCCACCCTTTCTGCTGCACTTTCCATTCCATCGCTTCAGTGCTTTAATCCAGATTTACTACCACTGTCTCCCTTGTATGCTTGCCCAATACATGGATTGGCTGCTTTATAATTTTGGCTTTCAGAAATCGTCTCGCAGCTGACCTCTTTGTCTGCTGCATCAGTTCAGGAACAACAACAGGTTATCAATGGAGGACAGACTCTTGCCCACTTAATTTATAGTTTCAGATGAAAGGTCACTTAAAAGGTCACACACTGGCGACCTCTGCATTGCAGCAGACGCAGAATTTTGTTTTCATGACTAGACAAAGTGCAGCAAAGTCATCCTTACTCCCAAGCAGGTGAATTGCCGAGGTCAGACTTATTTATAGAATATCTTAGTATGAATGGTGGGGTGATTCATTACTGTCACAAGTACAAGAATGTAAGGAATTGTTTTTACATTATTTCTGCATAACATATCCCTATAGTTCTGTCAATAGTGAAAAAAAAAAGAAACACACCATGTACCCTAAACCAGATAAATTCATGGCAACTTTCTGTGCTACATGAGCTCTGATTTTCAAACTCTCTCTGCAGTGACCTTTGACATCTGATTACAAAAGGTATCATCTATCAAAAAAGTAAATATGCCATTTTCCACTTTTACTGACAGTTGTAAAATTTGAAAATTAAGATGTGCAAGAGCATAATATGGAAAAAAAGCTCAATGAATAGTGCAGAACAGATCAACAACCGACTGGAGGGATCGCGTCTGCTTACTTGTCTCCAATTACGTGTCTGGACACCTAATTAGCAAGTGAGCCAAGGCTCCGTCATAAGTTACACAATCAGCTCACATGTTTGCACCCTTTCTGTTCAACTCACCGAAATTCCCCGCTTGATCGGAGGGGTCCCTGGGCGCCCAGTGAGGGCAGCCCTCAGCCCCCTCCCTGCCAGCCGACGCCCAGCCGTCCTGCTGCCCTCAGGGTACCAGGAAAGGCTGCATCTTTCAGCAGTCAGCAGGTAAAACCACTGCCAGTCATGTAGGCAGGATTATGGAGCACTGAGATTTGAGCTCTGAACAATGGAGGCAACCACACAGTTCTCGTCTGCTGCTATACAGCCAATAATCGACCGTTAAGTCCTGTCTTCAGTGTGTGATACAACGTCCAAAAGTCCCGGCGGTGGTTGTGAGACAAGCGACCCATCGCTCATGTCAACAACACGGTGGTGACAACAACTACTCCAATGGAGGCTGGACCAAGGAACATAACCTGCTAAGCTACTTTAGAACTCGGCTAAAGGGTTTAAGGGACACACAAACATGCACAGACACTCTTACAGCCTGACCAGACCCAGCTTAACAATGACCCTTAATCCAGTGTGTATGACTGGTGTATGTGTGTGTGCACAGAGATTGCTGTTGTTGAGGTTCATCACCTGTGTTTTCATTACTGAATAATTGAGTGCTGCTGGAATGCTGATTATCCCAGTACACCTTAATGGGAAAAGGGTTTGCTGTAATGATAAGCAGCAAATCTCTTTTGTAAAACAGATCAGAGGGATGTAAAGTGAACCTTTTTTTAATGGAAGAGAGAACAGTGTTGGGTAATGGGATGATATATACTGTGAAGAGATAGAAATTTGTCAACCATCAGCGATTTTGCTTTATGGTTTGTAACCAGGGTTGGATATCATTTAAAAGATTACGATAGTATTACCAATACCGGTATCCTTAAAGTGATACGATACAGATGGAGTACTTTATTTGATAGTTGTGTTTTTTTCTACATCATGCAATACCCATCACGTAAATGGGGAGCATTCAGTTTTGTAAGATGCCACCAGACACTACAGGTGTATAGTGTAGCCATACTTTAAAATATTTTGGTAATTCTTCAGCATGCTGAACTACAAACTCCTTCAAATATACCATGATCGACTTCACCACACCTCAGACTGTATAGATTGTAACAGCCGCCAAAATGGGTCCATTGCACACTGCATTAAGTCAAAGAATGCTTGCCGTGTTTGGCCATGAGCAAAACCATACAAATAGTATTTTTATAAAGCCCTATTTGTAACTAAAGTAAAGTAGCTATCCTTTATCCTATTATCTGTGGTTACACTAGTTCATTGTGGGCAATGTACACCCATGAGTGGATTTTCTTTATGTCAGTATTTAATTTACAGTATTTTAAAAATAATGCGACAGAGTACCTTGATTTTTCTAAGTATTTAAATCTTAGGATCAGACGAATACAGTCATTCCCATCTGAGTGTTTTATCTTTTTAACAGGACAGTTCACCCCAAAATAAAAAAACAACATGTTCTTCCTCTTACCTGTAGTGCTGTTTATCACTACAGGTACGTTTTGGTGTGAGCTGCTGAGTGTTGAAGATAAAGGCCATAGAGATGTGCGCCTTCTCTCCAGTATAATGGAACTAGATGGTACTCGGCTTGTGGTGGTTAAAGCAACAAAAAATACATTTAAACTCTACAGCAATGTGTCTGCCAAGAAAACATGACCAGGTTACTGAAGATAATCCATCCATTGAAAACCCCACAGACAGGGGCCTCAGCCAGACATTCCCAGTTCACCCTCACTACACGTCTGGGTTTACCAGGTCTGTCCGGCAGCCTCCCCCGCCATCTGATCCAACTCACCATCAGGTGGTGATCAATTGACAGCTCTGCTCCTTTCTTCACCCGAGTGTCCAAGACACACGGCCGCAAATCTGATGATACAACCACAAAGTCTATCATCGATCTTTGGCCTAAGGTGTTCTGGTACCAGGCACACTTATGAACCTCCCTGTGCTCGAACATGGTGTTTGTTATGGCCAATCCATGACTCGCACAGCAGTCCAATAACAAAACACCACTCGGGTTCAGGCCATGCAGGCCGTTCCTCCCAGTCACCCCCTTTAGGTTTCTCTGTCATTGCCCACGTGATTGTTTAAGTCCCCCAGAAGAACTATGGAGTCCCCAGCCGGCACCCCTGCCAGGACACCACCCAGAGACTCCAAGAAGGCCGGGTACTCTGTACTGCTGTGCGGTGCGTACACACTAACAGTCAGAGACCTTCTCTTCAAGACGAGACAACCCTCTCATTCTTCGCGGAGAACCCCAACATGGCGGCGCTCAGCCAAGGGCTTGTGAGTATCCCCACAACCGCCAAGTGCCTCTCATCGTGGGCAACTCTGGAAAAAGGGAGAGTCCAGCCCCTCTCCAGGAGTTTAGTTCCAGAACCAGTGCTGTGTGTGGAGGTAAGCCCCACTATATCTAGTTGGTACCACTCCACCTCCAGCACCAGCTCCTGGTGGGCCCACAGGGTGGCGGCTCCATGTTACTCATTTGGGCTGAGCCTGACCGGCCACCAGACACTCGCCGGCGAGCTCCCCCACAGGTCTGGCTCCAAAGGGGGGGCCCCAGTGTCCCCATACCGGGCGAGGTACTCGTTCCCCGAATGTGCCGAGTCACTGAGGTCTTTTTGAAGACATCCATAGACCCTATTGTGAGCAGTTTTATGTAGGAATTGTCTTCTATCTACCAAACTACACCTGTCAAACCTATCACCATGGAGAAAGGAAGCCTGTATTGCTGTTGATATTGTTAATATGTATTGCAGCAATATATATAAATATCACAACAAAACATTACACAGACTGTGATAGATGATTTTGTCCATGCTGCCAACCCCTAGCAGAGGACTTATAATTTTTCCCTAACTCCAACAACATAAACACCTTAAGGGTACATAGAAGGCCTGACTTGATCATTTTCAAGGTCATTTAGGTCCAAGGCCTCCAGGGTTACATGCAATTCCCGTTTCAGCGGTCTTAACTTCCAAATCGTCTCTGGACAGAGGAACCTTTAAGAGTTCAGTTTTAACAGGTGAGAGGCAGAAGTCTGTTTGTGTGTATGGGATTACCTCAGGCTAAGAAAAGTGAGCTAGGAAAAGCACAACTCCCCATGGTACAGATCAGAGGTGCTAAACTAGAGACAGAGAAACTCAAGTAACACACCACTGACCTGCAGTACACACACACACACACACACACACACACACACACACACACACACACACACACACTTTTTTTGCTTTGCACCTGTTTCAACACAAATCAGAATGCAGTGCTCGTGCCAACACTGGCAGTGGAGGTAGCAGAGGGTAGAAACCAGTGTTTTAGGGTCTCTTCAGTCTTAGTATAATCAATAATGTGTAAATTTTGCACTAGATGTTGGTTGATCTTTTAGTCATTTGAAATAAAAAGATACCACAAACTTAATACGTCTTTTACACAGCAGCAGGCTCTTCTGTTTGGTGCCCAGTCATTTCTGGAGGTAAGCACCCTGTCAGAGCATCAACCACAGTGGCTACTATGTACTGTATGTAGTTATCCAAAGAGGCAGAGCTACACAAAAAGTACCACGATATTACCAACTGAGCATGTGAAATGTTGTCCAAACGTGTGTATATCAGGTGACAGAATGTAAATAACCACTGGATAAACAAGGGTTTTTTCACAACATACAGTAGCAGGTGCAATACTGTGCCTTGGTTTTTCATCTTCAGAACATCTCAACATTTCAACAATTCCAATTAAATGTGTGACTTGAAGTTTCCATTAAAAGTCTTGCAGGATTTTTTCAGTTTGGCCTGAGATAAACTGGAGAAGGTTCAAACCCTTCTTGAAAGATTTATTAGTGAGCCTCTTTGAGGACTTTCATCTCATTGCTTTGGCTGTGTGCTAAAGCTCACAGCAGGAAGCTACACAGTGAGGAAAACATTCACATTTACCAGTCACTTAACCAAGTTTTTACTTGCTTAATATTTCCTAAAACAATGGAGCCTGGTGACTGAAGGGTTGGCCATACCAAAAACAGTAACGATAATGATAACCTCATCAATAACGATGTGAGCATCCACACTGATGAACGATAAAGCTCTGTGAACAGTGATGCCAAGCACACATCGCATGCTTCAGCTCAGTTGGCAGCTTAGGAAATGATTGGTTGTCAGTGTTTTATCGTTCATCAAGTTGTTCTGAAAGTGATACCAATGACATCTTTCACCACTGTCGTTGTCTTCACAGTTGTGGCTTTTAATTTTGTTTTTTTAATTTTTAAAACAATATTTTTACAGTGGGGATGCACCGATTTATCAGGGCACATCAGTACTGGCTGATTTTCACCTTGTTGATGGCCATGGGCCCACTGGCAAATAAGATGACATTCACCGATGGCAGTGGCCGATGTTTTCCCGTTGCATCAATTTAGCAAAAGCTAAAAAGCAGGGCTTCAGAAAAATAGTGTCCTGTCACCTCTGTGACAATAAAACACGTTTCTGGGATGAACAGAGAGGTTCCCCCGGACACTGTCGCGACAAGAGGGTCACTGTAAAATCACTATCATCGCATCGGAACACACCCTATTGCTGCCCTGATAATGCTACATTGTGAACAAGAAATCTCTGTTGAAATCAGCAGAAGGAGAGCTAGTTAGCGTTAACCATTAGCAGCCAGTGGCTGGAGCTAACAGTTAACAGAGGTGGCATCAAGTTACATTATGATGCATTCAAGCTCCATTCAGTAAAAATGAGTATTGAGTGAAGGTAAATTATAACATTCTCATGATTTGAGAAACTTGAATAAATACAACTGTTTGAAGGGGAAATGTGTTGACGTTTTCACAGCAAAATAAAACATTAAAAAGGAAATTGTGACATAAAATATATAGTAAAAATGCTTCTGAAGCAGTTAAATTTGTCTTTTATGTGAAATAAGGTTATTGTTTCATATATGAGTATGAATTTAGGCTTACTCAGTGTAATGAAGGACTGAATGACGTTAAAACTATTTCGTTATTTTTTTTTAAATGAAGATTTCTCTGTTTCCCTGGCACCAAAGAGGAATAAAAAAACAACAAAAACAAAATAAACAACAACAACAACAAAAACACATCGGTATCAGCCATCAGCTATTGACCAAATTGTTATTTTGAACATCGGTATCAGCCCAGAATTTAAAAATCTGTGCATGTCTTATTTATAGTTATTGTTATAGTTATCATTCCTAATGTGGACAGCCCTTAAGAGGTAAAAATACCTCACCTACTAATCTCACTCACTTTAATATGTTGTTGTATAGTTCGAAGAGTGGCTTTAACACAAACCCACTTTAATCAAGACAGTGTGGGGAACATATGACATCAACCATACTCCCAATGTTTTGCATTGTAATAAGAGATACTTCATGTTCAGATCGACCCTAAGAAGAAATCATTCCATATTTGGGGTCTCTGTTAATTTGGAGATTTGCAAATCAACTTTTTGCAGTAATAGTTACTCAAAAGAAATCCACAGGATCCTGGGGAAAAGGTGCTAGCATTTTAGTACAGAATTGATTGATAAGGAGGCAGCTGTTAAAATAGTTCATCCTGAATCAATTTGTACATGACGTGTTTCATTCAATTTTCGAGATTTTTTTCTGCACTTTCTATGAACAATTAGATTGTTAGAAAATCCCCAGCAGTGCTCCTCAGTGCTGCAGTTAATGCAGTCTGTTTCCACCTCTGACCCATGACCCTCGGGATTTAAGAGTCCCAGCTTAACAGTGTAAAGCAGTGTTGACAGGAAATGCTTTAGGTCTGAACTGCCAACAGAGTATGCTCAAGATTGCTGAAAGCCTCTTGTTATTTAGGGTCATGCATTATCAAGCTATGAGGCACACAGGAGCACCTAGTTTGACAAACTTAGTGGATAAAACTCTTTGATCAAACCAACATGAGCCACTAGATCATAGTTAGCCAAACAGTGTCTGTTGTATCAGTTTTAAATGTGAGAGTGTACTGGACTTCTACCTCTTTCTGTTGTCGCTCCAGCTCCTTCATGCGGATCTCTCTGGCTTCTGCCCTGGCTGCCCTCTTTGCTGCCAGCCTGGCCTCGGCCTGAAGGGCAGATAGAGAAAGAAATAGAAACAGAGAGAGAAAATAGAAAAAACGAGAGGTGAGACAGCTTCCCAATTTGCCAGACTAAAGTGGCACACATGTACACATCTATAAATGCTGAACAGGCGTGTGACCAGAGGTCCAATTCCGTGACAGAGTTCTTAATAGACATGTGAAATGTGTGTTTAATCGTTGGGAAGTAAAGGCACCAGAGGTTTCAGCAACTGTCATATCCTAATGAATAATGGACCTTTAAACCAAAAGTGCAGGGGTTTACAGTTATACTGAAGTAATGCTTCTAAAACTTTTGCATGTTAAATCAAACAAGCAAGACTTTACACTGCAGTATATCACAGTAGATTGGATTATCAGTGCTGTAGCAGTGTCTACAGTACAAACACAGAATATCAAGTGTCCTTTAAACTCTGAACAGATGTAGTAGACTGTTTTTAGAAGCATACAATCTTGTGAGAATCTTAGGACCCATTGCAGACATGCAGTTACAATAAAGTGTAAATGTGTGTATGTATTTATATTTCTGTATTTGAAGGCATTTCCTTTGCTCCACTCAGCACTCGGGTAAGAGCAGGGCCTTTTCCTTAAAAGGACCTCTCTCAGAGCATGTACTGTATGAGTGTGCGCCACAGACTGTGTGTGTAAGCATTTCCTTCCTCTAGCTTTGTGGTAGACACTATGTAGTTGCAGTCTGTTCGCCTCTAGGCGGGGTCACTGTAATCCCTCCTACCCTTGCACTAATGCATTTCCCCACTGTCAGTCACCATGACCATGTAACAGGAAGACACAAAGTTTCAAAGGCAAGCATGTTCTCACACACTCTCTCGTACACACACACACTCTTAAAAGATGTTTAGTCATGACTCAGTAGACCCTCTTCACATACATTTAAAATCTTTCTAAATGAACAGCCTTGTCAGGCAAGACAAAAAAATAAAACTGTTCCAGTAATTTTAAAAATCTTCTCTATCTCCAGGACACAAACCAGATGGAAACATTCAACTCTCTTTCTTCCATTTTTACTTCTTCAGACTGATAATGTGTGCAGTTTGCAGCAGTGATTTGGCTGCCTGTCCTCTACTAGAGTTCACTCAGTATTATAGATCTGGTTGCCAGTTAGTCCATGACATTTTATTTTACATTTGCATGCGTGTGTTGTCATATGACTGGCTGTGTTGCTTACCCAAGCAGGCTGATCCTGGCACATCTTATTTTATGATAATTTTAGTTACTTGATGACAGTGTGTGTGTCCCTTGATGCATTATGTGGCATTTCTGCTGTCTGTTTCGGAACTTTCAACTTCATGTGTTGCTGCTGCTGTATGCAGTCATCATATAAAGACATCAATATATTGCAGTGTTGTTCATATAATGATAAGGTTTACACAGTGGATGCATTGCCATGGCTGTCGCTTTTCCCCGTCCATCCTGTGGAGCCTTTCACATTACTGTAATATTGTGCAAAGCCACATCACAGAAGATTGTTATCACAAGCACACCACACCTAACCACACCCAACTGTGATGATGGT